AACTATGTTTGGAAATAATGTTTGGATTTGTGTGCATAGCATAGAAAAGTATAGTTTGGCAATTGCGGATTTGAAATGAGAATCAGTGGGCTGGATTAATATATGAATGACGGATTCATTGTATCTACAAGAAAAAATGTCTTTCCTCCGAGGGGCTGGTACAGCTTGCATTTGCTACAAGTTCCAGAAAAAAAGGTTTCATACTTGTTATAGTATTATTAATTTATTATGCATTAGTGAAACAACTTGTTGTTATTATTATTATTATTATTATTATTATTATTATTATTATTATTATTATTATTATTATTATTATTATTATTATTATTATTATTATTATTATTATTATTATTATGTGGGTTTGGAACTGACCCGAAAATTTATGCTTGGATATAAGAATTTGTTGGTTTGTTTGAATTTTTTTTTTTTTGTTTTGGATTGGTTTAATTTATTTTAATTATTTTATTTTAATTTAGTTTTATATAATTTAATTTATTATAATTTATTATATTTTATTAATTTAATTTACATTATCTTTTTAAATTTAATTTCATCTATTCATATGTAATATCTATGTATATTAAACGTTATTATAATTTTCAACTAACTTGGATTGGTGTGGTGGTGGAAGAGCTAGCATGCAACTTTCATGTACCAGGTTCGAATCTCAAAGCCATGCACAAAATCGTCATGTCACTGATACGTGGAACATAATGTCAGTAAAAAAAATCATGTCATTGACACGTGGAACGCCATGTCAGCAGCAAAATGCCATGTCAACGCCATTTCAGCAAAAAAAGCCCAAAATTGGACCATGTGATTCGAATTACAAATAATAGTCAAAGTGGTGTATTAAATTGCTAATAAATGTGGTGATTAAATTGCAAAAATATGAAAGATGGTGTATTAATATGTAATTTTGCCTGAAAATAAATAAAACATAAGGTATTCAGTCTTGATTTCTAGGCTCCCCGTAAGTGCTTTGGGCGCTAATCGTTGATCGAGCGCCTAGCTATTTCTAGAACACTGAAATTTGGTTAATTTGAATTTATGTTACTTAAGACAGTATGTGTGTTTTGTATGTTTTTGTGGTTATTTTGTGTGTTCTTATGTGTTTTATTTTATTTTATTTAGGTTTTTCCCTGTCCATTTAGTCGTATTTGCTCGTTTTTGTGTTCTCATTTTGTTTTGGTGTCTTGTGCTTTTTATTTCTCTTTTTACCTTTTATTTTGTAGGGAAAGCGTGTTCCGGAAAGTCGGTAATAAATTTATGGGAAAATGCCGGAAAGTCACCCGAGACGAGGAGAAAAAGATTTGAGGAGCATGGGTCAAAATTTCAAGCCAATTGGATAACCGTGCGAGAAGTTAGAGCTAATCGAGCTTCAAAAATCAAGCCAAGGCCGGATTAGAGCCCTCAAAAATAATGATCTATCCCGTGAATGCACTCTATCCCTCGAGTTCCACCTTGCTAGTGAAAATAGCTAGCGAAAATGAAGATCTATCTAGCGAGTTCGACCTATCTTGCGAGTTTCTATCATTAAATGTGTGTGTTTTTAGTGTGTGTTTGTGGTGTAGCTATAAATAGACATCTTGCTTTGTAATTTTGAAGAATTCCTCATTTGCTAAATTTTTCTCTTCTTAGTTTTTCTCTCCCTTCTCTCTAATTTTCTTTCTCTCTCTAAGGGCTCCAAGACCCTATTTTTATTGTAATATTTCTCCATCAATATTACGACTTTTCAGCTTATTTCTTCTCGTGGATGCACTAGAGACTTGGAGACTTCGTTTAAGGTTCATGATTTCGTAAGTCTTGCTCGTCTTTACTTATTGGATTTATTCTAGGGTAAGATTGGCACATCCATGAGTCGATTATGCTACCATCCTCGTAGGCTAGGGATTATGTGATATTGTTATTGATTGCGTGAGCGAGAATTGATTGAGAGGTTAATTGATCACGAGTGACTTTCGCTTGGTTTCATATTCCCGAACCTATGGGTCTAGGAGTACCTTGTTCTTTTTCTCTTTATTTTCCCTTTTCTTGCAATTTGAGGTCTTGCTTGCTATTAAGTTTGAATCTTGCTTTCGTCTTAGCTTAAATTGCGTTCTTAGTTTAATCCAAACCCCAAATTGCGAGTAGAGTGTTTAGGATTTTTATTTTCTTTTCTTGTGTGAGTCAACCATTGTTTGAATCCGTGTCCGAATAGTCTTCCTTTGAGAACGACCCGAGTCTGGGTAACTCGGTTACCAATTACCCAAAAATACTACAAACAAAATGGCGCCGTTGCCGGGGAAGGCGAGTAGGCCATTGGATTTAGACAATTGATTGACGTGTTTTTCGTATTTCTCTTGCTTTTTGTGATCCTTGCTTAATTTTGTGTGTTTCTCTTGGGTATTTGTTTGTTTTCGATTTCTCTTGCTATTTGGTGTTTGTGTTTTTGTACATATTGTATTTTGTTTCTCGTATTTGGTGTTATTTCTTTTGTCTTGGTCTCGTGTGCTTTGGTTTGTTTGTTGTTCTTGTGCGAGGTACTTCACTTGAGGAGCTCCGATGGACCCGTATGATTGTTCCTATGCCGGAAGCTCGTCTCGTGACACCTCGACAACTAACAAGAGGATATGTACGCACCATATGGAGAGCCGTCTTTTTTATATACGAGTTACTCATGTACCTACTCTTATGACGGATGCTCTACTTTCCATGGGTATGGCCCGAGCCATTTTTACCCGACATCTCGAGTCGAATATGCTTATGACATTCCGGGACACGACGAGCCACCTTATGTCAATCCTCCACCTCTGGACTACTACTAACCACCACCTCCCGATTATGAAAAAGCACCTTCACCAGAGCCGGCTCGAGAGGCTTCTCGAGTCAATCTAGCCGAGATCATGGAGCACTTAGAAGAGTGAAATCGATCTCTTCGCGCTTCAATGACTCCCATATCTGAAAACGAGGAAACCGAGTCCCATGTTCCATCTTCTCCATCATTTGAGCATCTATCGGTTGGCCAACCTTGTACCTCAAGTTCTGAAGCTTCAATTCCAACCATGGTTGTGCCTTCAGAACGTCACCAAGAGGTTTTGACGAGCACTCAAGAGGCACTTGCGAGCCTTATGTCGATCATTGAGGAGTTTCATAGTTGGAAGAGCATTCCCATTCCATCCGTTCTTCAAATCACACTCACGAAATTCGACTCTACCGTGGTCTCTTTCCTTGATTTAGATGCATCTCACATTCTGCTTGGTAGATTTTGTTCTCTATTGGCGAGGGTTATTCGGGAGAGTACTCGGTTGGAGGGAGAATTTTGAACTATGGTGGATAAGTTTGCCTCCTTGAAAGAGATGGGCCTCACTCTCATTTATGACGGTACTCAATCTCTCGACACGAGTGAGGACCTTGACGATTTGGTTGTTAAAGAAATTTCCTCTCTCGAGGATTC